ATGATTTAATGTGATGTTAAGTGTGTGTGTGTGGAAATTGTGTGTGTTTATTGGACATAATGTAATGAGATGATGCAATGAGGTACACTCTGACCTTTCATTCATAATGATTGTTTGATCCTGTTAATCAATTAATGTAATGATTGGTTATTGTCACTCCTGAGAAACTTACCACTGTATCTTGTATCTCTCTCTCTCTCTTTCTTTTCTTCCCTCATTTTTGTTATTCCTCTCTTCTCTCAAGATTTTATGGGAGGTTTTGTCATTCTTTGATCTGCTCTTTATGAAGGATTGGGTAAGCTGGTCATTGGGTCACAGAGAGAAGATCATTATGTCTCAGAAATGGGTGTCCACTCCACTATCATTCTGTTATCGTGTACATAGTCTACTATACAATTCATTTATATCTGTACATATACTTGTACATGTACACTCCATACAATACATGTACCTTTGTTTTATTTTTTGTAGTGTATGTTCACAGGTCTCAGTTGGGAGGTTACTTTGGGTGAGAATGAAGGAGGGGGCACTCACTGTCTCCTCTCCTCTCTCTCTGATCAATCAATAGTGGCTGATGATGTATTGGAATATGTAAGACGCTATGCTTAACTTAGGATCATAAAGATAATTGAAGAACCACTCCAGGTTAGGATAGGCTTACTGAGGGTAATAGCCATGTTTACTGGGTCATTCTTTCTCCTCTTTCTTCCTGTCTTTTTTCCTTCACTCTCTCTCTCTCTCTCTCTTCCCCTTTTATTCATTGAAGTCTGGTTTTATATCTGATTTAATTTATGCCATCTGCCATCTTGTACTATATTAATTTTTTTGCGGAAGTAATTTTTGTGAATTTTTTAAATATCGTGAAATCCGCAAATTTTACAGCCCTAAAAAAGCACCCTAAAGTATGTAAGATATGGAAGAGAGAGAAAAGCTTCAAAACACACAGTTTTAAAAACTAAATACTGTATACATGTACATGTATTCTACATAATATACAATATTTATTACTTGTCAATTTTTAATTCAGCTCAGACACATATACATGTACATGTACATGTTCAATTTGGCTAAAATTTGATGAATTGCTAAATTTTAGGGATAGGCAGATTTTTAATTTGGTGAATTTGTGGCCATGTGCCATTGAGCATGCATATAATAGCTCAAAATGGTGCATTTTTATTTTGGCGAATGGCTATCAAAATGCCAAATTTGCCAAATTCAATCCCTTCCAAAATTACCCAGTATACGGTGTTATATTAATATTTACGATAAGACATTATACAAGTACACATCAATGTATTTCATGTATGTTTAATTATTTTTAATCTCTCTCTCTCTCTCTTCCTCTAGACTGGTAGTCTCCAGATGAAGATTGTTGCTGAAGATAAACTCGTTGAAGAGAGGATGGCTGAGCTCCTTCAAGAATGGGAGAGAAAGAAACCAATACATGTAAGGGATAAAGGAACAGGTTACATGTACATGTAGACCTACTAGCTGTTATGTACATTGTATACATGTACATGTACATCATTAGTAAAATGATGAGAATTTAGTGGCTGATATACATGTACATGTAACATACTGTGATATTTATTTACCACAATTCTCTGATTACTATAGTACATGTGCACATACATAACATGAATAACGAGGCATTTTTCTGAGGACTAAAATGATTAAATTTGAATGTACTGTACATGTGCATGAACATACATTGTACATGTATGTTAGCTTTTTACAGCTACATGTACATGTACATGTACATGTAGTTTCTATATCATGCAGTCGTGCAATAATGTACATGTTACGTAATCTTCCTCTTTCTCTTTCTTGCTCTCTCTCTACAGATTGTGTGATGAACAGTTATCCTGCAACCAGTCTTATTATTAGGGTCTGAGAGCCCTAAAGAGTGTACTGGTGAGTGCTGGTAATATCAAGAGGGACAGGATCCAGCAACTGAAGCAAGAGCTGGCAGCTCAAGGACAGACACTAGAGGAAACTGATCTATCCAAACAACCCATGAACTAGAGGTACATGAACATGTACATGTATGTGTATACAGTACATACAATTTAGATGCATGCATGTAGTTACATGTAAATTGTGTAAGGGATTCAAGCATTGTTATATTGTACTTAATCTTTAAATACTTGTGTACATGTAAAAGCCTGCCTGGGCTTCAATTTTCCATTTTTATTTTAACAATAACTTCTACATTTTCATACAATTTATTTGAGAGTTCTTCTATACTTTATATACACTTGTAGATTAATGCATATATACATGTAGCCTCCCCAGTGACCCTAGTGTATTTGTATTAAAAGGTCATTTTTATTTTACTTAATTTTTATTCTATCTTATTTTTCTCCCTCCCCCCCTCTCTCTCAGATCCTGATCCAAAGTGTATGTGAGACAGTTGTTCCTAAGCTGATAGCAGATTTTCTTTATTTAATTTTTGAAATTTTCTCTGATTTTTTTCCGATCATGGGAATACATTTATTCTTAGAATATTTTTATTTTATTTTCCAATTTTTTCTGATATTTTCTGACAGTGTGGGAATATTTTTGGATTCAGTCTATTTAATTTTTGGAATTTTTTTGTATTATTTTCCTCATGAGTGAAGGAATATTTTCAATTTTTTTATTATTAGAATTTTTTGATTTTTTAAGTGTGGGAATTTTTTCTGATTTTTTCTCTGAGCAAGCAAATATTTTTGAAATATTTTTATTTTTTTTTTATTTTTTCAGATTTTTTTTGACAGCGTGGAAATATTTTTGGATTTTTTAAATTCAATTTTGAAATTTTTTTAAATTTTTTTCTCATGAGTGTGGAAATATTTTCGGATCATTTTTCGAATTTTTTCAATGGATTATTTTTGACGGAGACGTCGATCCTGCTAGCTATGCTTGGAATCAATTGCAATACTTAGTGCCGGGAGGTTTCCAGCTAAAAGAAAGTATTAATCTTGCATATTATTTTTTTTATTAAGTGTTTAATGAAAAAGAACAGGAATAGATACAGGATTGCAGGGAAGATAGAGCTCTTGAACAAGGACTCGTGTCAAGACTATAATATTAATTTTACTT